AAATGCCTATTTGGTTGTATTTTTTAAGACATTGTTTATGCCTATCATGATGTTCTTCTAAACTGCATCAATTTCACTCTTTTAGCATTTCCTGTTACCATTAGTCCATTACATGATTCTATTAACTAATGTCCTCAACTCAATATGGAAGAATGGTGTATCTCATTCAAGCAACAGCATTTCTCAACCAACAGGAAAAGCATTACAACCTGGAAGCAACCAGTGGAGACCTATTTTGGTGGCTCCACCTATTACTTCAAAAATGCCACCTTTGGAGTCCTTTAGACTAACAAAAGAATTGGTTGGAGAAAGGGCGAAAGATAATGTCATTATAGTCACCTTTGGTAACTTTGCTTTTATGGATTTTATCCTGACTTGGGTTAAACACTTGGCGGATCTTGGTGTATCTAATTTTCTTGTTGGTAAGCTGTTAAATCTTCTATCGGTTACATAAGAAGAAACTGTGCTTAAAAGTGGACAATGAATTGGAATCGTTGTGATTTAGGTGCTATGGACACCAAACTGTTGGAAACTTTGTATTGGAAAGGTGTTCCAGTCTTTGATAAGGGCAGCCATATGAGCACAATAGATGTTGGTTGGGGCTCCCCTACCTTTCTATATTTCCTTTTGGTTATGAGCTATTGATGTGTGATACGAACATGGTGTGGCTCAAGGTACTTCTTTTCCTTCCCAGATGAAGCTTTTATACTAAGCTATAGTTAATGGTTAACTTCTTTTTCCCCTGAATTTGATAAGTTTTATTTTATTTGAATGTTATTATACCGTGGAACAATATTCATTCCTTTGATGCTATATTAACTAAAATTCTAGTGATAAATACTAACTTTTCCTGGGGGTTGTGCTCCTTCAAATTTAATATATCCGCTTGTGTAATGCTTCTTTCTCTGATGCCATCATTTCATTGTAGTTTTACCTCATGACCCTTTGTGGTCACTTCTGAAGATTTACATTAAAACCATAATTCATATGCCATGTTCCTTTCCCAGAATCCACTTCCATATCTTGCCCGGTACCCTGATGCTGACATTTTAACTTCAAGTGACCTAGTTGTGCCACCAGTTGTTGATGACAGATTAGCTGATTGGAAACAAGGTAAAAGATGTTTCTGAAGGTATTTCCTTTCATCTACTGATCTTGTTTTCAAGTTGTGGCTGTAGCGGTATTGTTGGTGGAGACCTGCCCTCCTCCTTTGTAGGAGAAGGGCAGGGGGTGTGGGTTCTGATTTGGTATTTTAAATTTAGCATGTCCTACGCTTCCCTTAGATTATTTTTGCCTTCTATGTTGTAAGTGTTAAAGTCTTCATTTATGGTGCAGCGACTCCCCAGTTCATATTACAGCTTTAAGCTTGTTTTTCCATTTGTTGTCTTGTCTACACTTTGTATTCCTATGGCACAATAAACTAAGACATTTATCATTTTCTTCTTTTAACTCGTTTTACCATTCTTGTGACTCCTGTCAATTGATTCTTTCTTTTCCTTGAACAGTTGGTGCTGCCTACAATATAGGAATTTTCCACTGGCGGCCAACCGAGCCCGCCATAAAACTGGCAAAGAATGGAAAGGTATGCTTTTATCTGATGGTAAGATATGGGGTCAGAATGGATTTAATGAACTTGTACGCAAGCAGACAGGGCCAGCCATTGATGATGAGAGTGGAAGTTTTTATGTTTTTGATGGAAATCTCAAGCTGGGAATTCTCCAGAAAGTATATTTTGTAGTGGGCACACTTATCACACCACATTCCAATATGGCGGTACTGAAGGGAAGTGTCATTGACTACGGGAGGCCATGGTTTTCTATGATCCACCAGAGTACTATGATGCACCGGGTAATTTTGTGCCTTTTATTTTCCAGATGTGATGTTAGGAGTTATATCATGATTAATTGATTACAAATGTTCTGTTCCAACTATGAAGTATCAAGTATTTCTATAGATTTGATTTTAGGATCCACATTATCTCACCAAAATGCAATTTAAAACAGTTTCTGCATCCTTCTAAGTTTCAGATATATTTATTGATCTGACATGAACATGCTAAAGTTTCCGTAAGTTTTTCTCATTCATGTAGAGGTGGAGGGGTCATATCTTAAATGGATTATGGCATCATACATATGCAATGTAGGTATTTTGGGATGACTTGAATGGTACATGTAACATGCAGTTTGGTTACAGTTCCCTCCTATCATGTTTTATGCTTGTTTTGGTTAGGATGGGATGCAAGAAAGTCTGAAATCTACTATCCAAGTTTATCAAGGAAACTTCTAGTTTTGTAGTGAAAAAAAACACATTTTTTAAACCTTTACCTTTAACGAAGGGGCTATCAATTAATCTAGCGAGGAAGATCCAAGTCAATTGAATTTTAGATATTAATACTTACTTTAATGATCATTCACAGCATGTTTTGTGTTGCCAGAACTTATTGAAGGAATTATGCAGGAGGATTCTTGTCATTTAAACCTTCTATTCCAAAGAGCCTGTTACTGGATGGGCTGCATAATCTAGAATCACACTTCTCTCTTATTAATTACCAAGTATGTGTGATAATTTCGAAGCACAAGCCTTTGCTGTTTTAATCTTCTGTATCTATTCTCATATTTTTTTTCTCTTTGATGTTTTTGTTCAGATGAAACAAATAAGGTCGGCATTTGTTATTGCTTCATTGTTGAACTGTACACTGGTGTGTATTCTATGATCAGTTAACATGATTATCTTCAAATTTTTTGTTTACTATTCTAATGGGTGTTGTGAATATAATTTCTTTGTGATGGAAATTGAACTAAGAGATTAAAATAGTTATTATAAGACTCTTGGCTTACACCCTTAAAAGTATGAGCTTTAACATGAATTTCTTGTGCCTGGTGGTAGCAAAGTAATAGAAAAAACATCTATAAATTGAAAATTCATCTTACTAAAGAGCTGGTGAAATATGTACGCAATGGTGCAAGTGGACACTGTGTGGGGAAAGTTATCTAATTTATTTCAAATGTAGATTTGTGGTATTGTATTTGGATAAGTTTATGTAATCATCCATTTCCCTCCTCACTATGTCGATTTCAGGTTATGCCTCCATTATAGTGCAGGTTTGACAGACTCTGGTTTTCACATCCTGGAGTTCTGCAGGGGTCAATGACCAGGCAACCTTTTCTCTGCCCTTTGGACCATGTTTTTGAGGTAAATTTTAGTTGATCATAAGAACCATTTGATCTTTTTCTTGTTTCTTCTGTAAGAATCGTTCTCATGTTGCGGCACTTATTTTTCCCTCCCTTTTATCCGCGCAACCATGAAACCAAATAATTTCTATGTTAGGGCATTTAGCCTCTTTTATGAGTACAACATAATGCATGGATTTTGTAGATGCTTTTATCTTTAGCACAAGATGTTCTAATTCTGGGGAATATAACTTTCACAATTGTAGGTAAATGTCATGTTGAAAGACCTTCCAGAGGAGGAGTTTGGTTCTGCAATTAACATCAGAGTTTTCTTTTCTCAACAATCCATTATTACCCCAACAAGTAAATGAATATTAGTGGTATAGATTAAATCGTTTCTTTTCTATTATTTCCAGGAAACTTTAACTTTCAGTGTTGTTTCAGGTAAAAGACTCATGGCTTGATGTTCAACTTTGCCAAGAAGGAACTGAAGATTTCCATGCATCAAGTAACTCAAGTCGACCAGGTCTTTTAAGAAACAGCACCGAAGAAACGTTATGTCCGATTTTTCACTTATGTAAAACATTTACAAATGGCTTAATACTCAAATAGTTTAATACTCTTAGTTATAATGCAAAATGCAGTTCACAACAGTGTTCTCTTCATTCAAGGATGTCAAAGTCATCCAATTCTCATTAATGCAAAACGCTTTTCTCGGTTTCGCCGACAAGGCAAGCCTTTTCATCAAGCTCCAAGATCCCATGTACCATTATTGACTTTCTTTGTTGTTTTTACACATTTGAGTTGAGATGTACTGATATGCTGAATGTTCATGTACGGTCAGGCAAGAGAGGAGAAATTCAGGAACCGGATGAAGCGGTATGTCGGTATATGGTGCTGCGTTGAGAACCACACTCCCGGACACATATATTACGACATGTATTGGGACGAAAAACCAGGTTGGAAACCTGCCCCGCCTGAAACCCCAGAAGAGGATCATCCTCCTTTTCTAAGTTCCCCAGCATTTGGAATATTACTTCACAGATGGTGGCGGGGTCTCAGTTGATTATTCGAATACTCATTCATTTTATGTTTTATTTTGGGTAAAATTAGCTATTTAGTCACTCAACTACTATCATATTTTTATTTTGGTCATCTAACTATTAAAATTTTTGTTTAGTCATTAATGTTATGTTTTTATAATGTATTGATCACTGACCATTAAACTGGTAATTCAACAAAATTTATACCTTCTATAAATTTACTTGTGACAGTGACTAAAATAGAACAAAAACATTATATTAAAAAAAAAGTCACGTCATTGCTAGATTTATCCCACCTTTTAGTTTTTGACAATTTCTTCAAGCTTTGGCAACCTAATTTTACTTGTCATTCACTCAAAAATAAAATAATATAATATATATCCCCACTTTGATTGTCCCTTAAAAAATTAGAAGAAAAGAAAAATTATCTACCCACTTTCATATCTTTCTTTTTTAATTAAATTTTTATTTATCAGATTTCAATCAAATACTAATATCAATATCTTAATATATTGAAATACTTAATGATTACAAATAATAATATTTCATTAAAGCCACCATTATTGAATATTTCCATCTCCATTATTTTATTAATCTTACATGCCTAAGAAAAGTTAAAAAAACATTTCTTTATTATATTTCATCATTTCCCTTTTTCTTTTCTTTCTGAAATCTCATCTATTCTACAAAAATAGTTTACTGGAATATTTTAAATAAAAAATAAAAAATGATAACCCTCCATCCTCCATGGTCTCTGTTGTGTTTAACTGAAAAAACAGAACTCGTTTTAGCTCCAAAATCAATTTCAAAACCTTGTCTTAGTACCAAAAACTCAATCTTTTTTCCCTGATTCTGAAGTTAAAAGTGACTGTTTTTCAACATCGTTTGTTTTGGGTTTTTAGTTTCTTAAAAATTTAACCTTGTTTTTAGTTGGTTGAGCTTAAAATCCTAATGCGTTTCTGATAAAATCTCAGCAAATTTGAGCTTTAACCATGGAGTCAAGAGAAGCTGCATCTAATACCACAGCTACAGATACTACTACTGGGTCGACGGTGGTAGGGTCCGACGCTCCATCAGACTACCACATAGCTCCAAACTCGACCCAAAATCCTGGATCAGCTCCGCCTCAGATTCCTCCACAACCGGCGTCGCAACCAGTCCCCCAGCAGGTTGCTGTGGCGGGGATGCAGCTGAAGAAGAAGAGGGGAAGACCTAGGAAATATGGACCGGATGGTTCAATCACTATGGCGCTCTCCCCAAAGCCTATATCTTCAGCTGCGCCAACTCCGGTGATCGATTTTTCAGCCGAGAAGAGAGGGAAAGCGAATTTTCCGACGTCGTTTTCGAAGCCCAAGTACGAGGTGGAGAATTTGGGTAAGAAACAATTAACCATTCGGCGGATACCCTTTTTGAGTTGCAGTTGCTTTGGTGGTGGTTTGTTTCCATGTCTAGAACATGGATTCTGTGTTTAAGGTGATGGTTGTTTCACTTTTGTGTGTCGTGTTTTCTTGTAGGTGAAGGGTTTTTTTTTTGAAACTGTTGGGGCTTATTTTACACCACATGTCATCACTGTTAACGCTGGTGAGGTATGCTGAAGTTAACTTATAATCTTCGTGAGGGTTGCAGGAATTTCTATTTGGGATAACTTGGAAAATTCCATTTTTTTTCTTTTCATTGCTGAAAAAAATATGGATTGAGAGTTGTCTTCCAATATTAAAGAAAAACTTGTTATCTAGTACATTGGTAATTCATTTTTTTTAAATATACAAATAATCTCCGATTATAAAATATTATTTTGTTAAATCCATCAATTATAGAGAGTTATTTTATTGAGTCTTTCGACTATTAAAAGTTATAAAATGATCATTCGATTATTCATTATGTTTGAAACTCATCATTTTTCTTTAAAAAATTAATGGCCGTATGAGCTAAATGATAACATTCTAACTAAGATATAATAGTCGTTTGAAATTATAAAATCATATTTTATCATATCTTAGTTAGTAATTTAACATTCAGCTTAGACTATCGTTAATTTTTTATAGACAATGACAAATTTGGAACATAAAGAATAGTTGGATGATCATTTTGTAAATTTTAAAGTCGAGACTTAATAAAACAATTATCTATAGTCGAAGGATTATTTTGTAACTTTTAATAGTTGGGAAACACAACAAATAATATCCTAGTATCCTATAATCAGAGACCATTTAAATACTTTACTTTTTTTTTTGTTATAGGATGTGACGATGAAGATTATATCATTTTCTCAACAAGGATCTCGAGCTATATGCATTCTGTCTGCAAATGGGGTGATCTCAAGTGTTACTCTTCGTCAACCTGATTCCTCCGGGGGTACACTGACATATGAGGTAATTAGGTTCTTAGCATGGATACTAAGTCTCTTTATATCTCTGCAAATTGGTGTTTGATTTTTACTGCTTACCTAGAAATGTAGAATTTACAAGAATGAAAAATAACTTCATCTGCTACTGCTCCCTGTCGATATACAGCTTGAAAATGAATTGCTTGATCCTTATATTTTTTATAGCAAAAAGCAAGCAAAATCAGAGACGTAGAAACCATTTGTTGCTTTGTTCAATGTTGATTTATGCTCGTCGTTAACCTCGTCTATCTACTTCCTTAGTCGGCCTATGTCTGCAGTTTACATTGTTTCATCAGCAAACATCTCAATCTCATCTCAAATTTCTTGCAGGGTCGATTTGAGATACTGTCCTTGTCTGGTTCATTCATGCCCAATGACACTGGTGGGACAAAAAGCAGATCTGGTGGGATGAGTGTTTCATTTTTAAGTCCGGATGACCGTGTCGTAGGTGGTGGAGTTGCTGGTCTCCTAGTAGCTACCAGCCCTGTGCAGGTTTGATATCTGTTTTGCCGGTGTCTGTTTATGTTCTATCTCCCTCTGTTGTTTCCCACAACTTTCTTTTAAGTGAATGATTAAGAGAAGAATGAACCTCTAAATTTCATACTTTTGTTGTTTGTGAACCAGGTTGTAGTGGGCAGTTTTCTAGCAGGGAACCAGCATGAGCAGAAGCCTAAGAAACAGAAGCACAAGTCATTTTCGGTTGTCACACCTGTGGCTGCTATTCCCGTTTCTAGTGCTGATCCGAAATCAAACATCACTACATCCTTCTGCAGTGATAGTTGGTCCCCGTTGCCTTCAGATACAAGGAATAAACCTACTGACACTAATGTATCTTTGCCTGGAAGTTAATCTAAACATGCCGATAGTTCCTAATACTGACCTCTGGCAATCAAAGCACAATTGATGACTATCAATTCTCACTCGTTGTTTCCCATGTAAGCTTATCGACTTCTCACAAGTACCATCATGCTCATTTTCACCTAGTTTATTTACCCATCCATTATTTTTCACCACTAGTTTAGTTTGGTCAGCTGATTAGATAGCCTGCAGCTGTTATGTCATGTAGAATATTTCGAATGTAACATTTGCTGAGAGTTGGCTTTTATTCAGAACGATAGTGGATTTTGATTTTCAAACATCCCAATTTCATTGCTAATGGCTTGTTTATGTAGCTTTTGACATAACAGCTTGCTCAAATATATAAGAAATCAAATGACTAAATCTAAAAGTGTGAATAAGCTTAATAAGATACAAAAGATTATTACGGTTATCAGCCCATGTCATGGGGAAATAATAAAGAACACTAACCAAGGCTTGTTCCGCATCCTTGAGAGCCGCATCTGCTTTGATGCGAGGAGGTCTGACTATACGGTCGATGAGTCCATATTCAAGAGCCTCTTGAGCATTGAAGCGTTTCATCCTACTTAAGTCCTTGTTAATCTGCATGTGCACATTCGTTGTTACCATGATTCGATAAATAAAACAATAAACATATCAACAATAAAGGAAAAAGGTGGTCTAATTATGAATTTCATCATTCTACAAAATCTGAGAAATTAGTCCAAATGGGTAACCAGGCCAAACCTTAACATTAGACCCTTGACCTGAAAATTAGCAGTTCAGAAATTTATATGCAATAAATTAGCAAAATAAAACAGTTCACTGCTTACCAACAACTGGACTAACTTCTTAATTCTTGCAAATTAGAGGGACTAACTTTGCAGTTTCTATAGAGGGGTGAAATTCATCATTAAACCGAAAATAAAAAAAATAAAATAACTTTTTGCAGTAAGAGAAAACAAATTGAAATGAAGACTTCATGTGTTTCCAGTTATCCAGTACTGATTAGCTGTTTAGAGCTAAAGCGCAAGAGGGGAAGCTGGCGACACTCACATGAAACAAACAGAAAGACATTTATAGTAATTCACTTTTGAGCTTGAGCTGTTAACATACCGTCTCAACAGACTGGCCTGTGTTCTTAGCAAGCTCATTGAAAAGGCAATCTCTGATTCTAAGAAGCTCATTTGCTTCATTTTGGATATCATCAGCCTGTCAGGATTTAACAATTTCAATATCACCAGAATCATAACATTGAAAACTGAAACAGTATTCACCGCATGATAGCATGCAGTCATACCTGACCACGAGCTGCACCAGCTGGAGACTGAAGAGCAATTCTTGAAAGAGGCATCGCAAAACGATTACCCTTCATATTACAGAAAGCAAGAAGAGAATGTTTTCAAAATTTTCACAATCTAGTAGTAGACTGGAGGACGGGCTGGCATAAATGAAAATTCTAGGGATTGCTACATAGTCAGCATAATATATAAACTTGGTAAAACTCTTAAATTTTGAGGGACTACTTCATGCATTATTCCACAAAAATTTATAGCATTCTCTTGCAATAATAACACCACAAAGTTCACAGATTTAGATAGAAAAGAAGGAAAACATTACCTTTTCCCCAGCCTCAAGAAGGAAGCCTGCTAGATTGTAGGCATAGCCTGCACAATGGGTGCCTACAGGGCTTTTCAAGCTTTGCATGGTATCATAGATCGCCAAGCTAGGAGTAAGATGTAAACAGATAACAGTTCCAAATCAGATAGTGACCAGGGATAACAAACTAGAAATAGAAATACACATCAGCAAAAGCTTTAAACAAAAAACCTTACATCTCCACCAGGACCATTGATGTAAAAGTAAAGCCTTTTATTATCATCAATACTATCAAGGTATAACATTGTTGCCAATATTTGGTTGCTAAATTCCTCTTCTATATGTTGTCCGATGAAGATAACACGCTCTCGGTACTGCATCCAATGTAAGTCATTAGCCTCTAGAAGGTGCATAATAGAATTTAAATCAGGCTTAAAAAAGAAAACAAAATATTTATGCAATATTCAAAATCTAGTACAGGCATCAAGAATATATTGATAACCAGATTGTCAAATCACTTCTGAAAACAGAAAATGATCAACATAACTGCATGGCAGTAAAATAAAGTTTGCAAGAGTAGAGAGAGTGAAATATTGGAATCATCTCCAACATAACACGACCCAAAGCAGTTATGCATGTTGAAGTCTGGTTTTTAACTAGGATCTCCATTCTTATAATGTAAAATTAGTAATGATTACTCACCAGTGCATTCCATAAATCAACCCATTGCCAAGTTCCTTCACCAGGAACACTATAGGGAACTTTTGGAGTTCCTATAGGTATCATTCCAACTCGTGACCTTGATGGTTTGCAATTTCGAGTTCTGCAGATACAAATTCATAATCATCAAGAGGTTCAAAAAGAAATAACTGGAAACTTGAACTTAGGGGTTTCATGTATTATATATTGAGAGTTGAGACTATACAGGTCAAACCTCCTTTTTTTTTTCATGAGAAAGAAATAAATAAGATACAACAACACTCGTGGCATGAACACAATCAGGCAGGTGTAGCAGATACACAATACTCATCAAACATGCTAAACTGCTCAAAGGAGCAAGCTTTGAACCAAGAATTATCAAATATAACAATCAAAAGATGCCCCCCACCTTTTTTTCCCTTGAAAACAAGAAATAAAATTCAAAGAAGTTACATCCAGCTTGTACTTGCAACAAGCACACTGTAAAATCCACAATTCAAACTTATTAACTGTAAAGTTGCTAATAGTAACAGATAATAATAACCCAAATTACAGAGTAAGAGTATAAACAAACAATTACCCGTATTGGAGACTTTTATTAACTCTGCTATAAAAGTCTGCACTCAAATTCGGTTTCCCAGTTGCAAACAAACCTTTGAAAGATGAAAAATTAGGGGAAAAAGTTCAAAATTTAGAGGGTATATAAAATGCGATTAATTAGACTAGAGAGTTGACGAAACGAGCATACAGGGAGACTGAAGCTTCAACCCAGAGTAAAGCTTAGTCCCACAACTGGAGAGAAGAAAATACAAAATACATATGTTATATATGTATAAAAATACACCGTATACGTATAATACATAGAAGAATGAGAACCTAAGAGAGGGATGATGAATATCTGCTTTGAGCGAGATTGACATTGTTTTTGTGGGGCTTCAACACTACCATTGAGCTTTATTCGGAAAGTAATATATAAAGATGGATAAACTATACGGATGGTCCCTTATTTTTTTACTTAACCAATTTTGGTCACCAGTTCAAAAAAAGAATGATTTTAATTCCTTATGTTATCAGTCAGTTCTCTAGTCCCTTAGTCATTAACCAAAATTAAAAAATCAACATACCTACTTCTTCTTCTTAGTTTTATTTATTGGTTTCGCTATTCAAATAAAGTATTGTATATATTATTATTTTTATTATCATGGCAAATTACAGGAAATTTTGAGATTTGTTGTACTGATTTTAAAAGTTGCCTTTCAGTTTATCTTTGGTGAGATATTTACTGCAAATTCAACTTTGTTAACCCTATGAACATATATAATTGAATCTTTGTTTTGCAGGTGTACAGCCTAGTGATTATGTTGTTCCTCAGAAGCAGTCAAAGCTGCTGGTTTTCAATTTTATGCTGATGAGTTAGGATCCATTGTGAAAGGCCATGATATGAATAAACTAAAGTTTCATGGAGTATAGGGCATTGCTGAAAAGCTCTCCACATCGACCGTCAAAGGATTATAGGATACTTTTATAATTTGATACATATATTTTTGGGTAAGTACACAAATGATCATTGACTATAGAATATTACTTTGCTAAGTCCCCTACTATTAGAAATTACAAAATGATCATCCGATTATAGGGTTAAACTATTTTGGTTTTATAAAAAAACTATGATTAGTATTTTATTTAAAGCTCAGGGGTTAAAATAAAAATTAAACATTTGTACTAAGGTTTCATATAATCAAACTAACGGAAACTAATGTTTCAGTGATCAAATTTTAATAAAACAATAACGTAAGTGAATAAAACTCATGTTTTTTGAATTTAGTGAGCAAAAGTGTACAAATATTAAATGAAAGTGGTCAGTCCTATAATTTACCCATTTTTTTTATTAATATCGGGTGAGCACAAGATAATATTTGTTCAAAAATTCTCAATCAGTTACATTGAACACTCATACTCCTGACATACATAATGCTGAAACTCTAGATTTCAATGAATAATAAAAAATTCCTTAACCACTGAAGTCACTTGATTCGTGCTCACAACCGTACAACCGTGAATTAATGTTGTATATCAGTTACAACAAAACCAAATTTAAAAAATTATAAACAACCAAATGTCAATGCAAACAATTTAGATCAACAAACAGTTTGAAGATAAAAAAAGAAGCTGGCATCTTCCGTTAATCATCTACATCTTCTAATGCATTGTAGATTATCCTAACAAACACATATGGGAGTTCCCATGTTAGTAGGCTACTAAATATAAAAAGCAACTATAGTTTACAGGCAGCATCTCATATACTGTAGGGAAAAGAGTAAAAATACCAGAATAAGGCAAAGAAGATGAGGACAACGACATAGGCGAGTTTAAAAATGTGTTGCTTCTTCTCCTCATGAAGAAAGTTAAATATATCTGTAACATCGACCAGGTGTTGTTTTCGAGTGTAACTGATGATAAGAGAAAGTTAGGGAAACAACACAAAGCACACACGATTTCAACAAACAAGCTCCAATTGATGAATGTGTGTATTAACTGCAATGAGTTTCATGCAACATATAGGCATATAAAAGATTTCAATTTTCATAAAGTTTCAATGCTACATATATTAAGTTATTTAAATATCCATTGATGAATGTCTTTGGACAGATTAGAAGTTATTCTTAAGAGCCACAAGGCGCAAAACTCATCATTCATATTATAAAACAAGCTCTCAAAGTCGGAACTAGATAAAATTGATAAACCAGACAGGGGCTTAAATCCTACTTGACAATTGACATAGCTCGCAAGCTCAACATATAAAGGAAGTTGCAGTGAAGAAATTTGAATATAACACTGAACCAAAGCTACTTTTCCTCGAAAAGAACTACACTGATGATAAAATTTGGAATAAGAAAAGGGAGAAAAAAACTTACAGTCTCGCATTGTAGCATAAATATGGAGCACATAACAGTGACATAACCCAAGCCCCGTTAGGAGATAGAATAAACATAGAAACCCTTGGAGGATAAATTCTGGCAAGACCGATTTGTTTATCTGCGATGAAGAGTCATAGGGATTGATGTAATCTGACTCTAAATCAACCAAGCATATGAGCTGCGGCAAAATCATCAAGCTGTTAAATTTCCATTTCCAGTTCTCAATATAACAAGAACTTATCACTAATGAGCTAAAACACATAGATTTTAGTTTTCTAATTTCTTGAGTTTTATTTATATTTCAAATCCAAAACAAAATCTCAATAACCTAGTTACCCGAATCAAAGGGACGTGATATTGTTAACCCTCCAGAGAAAACCCTCCGAAAGCTACCAAATCTCCGCCAACAAAGACCTCGGAGGACTACACCCTCTAAGCAGAGCAGAGACTCCAGAAGCCCCCACCCCCCGAAACAACCATCTTTGGAACCACTCTAAAATCCATGCTTCTCAGTATTTGACATGACCTTTGAAAGAGTCAAATATGATAGTTGACATGTGTAGAGTCTGTCAGCCTATTAACAGGAATGATGATCTTAGACCTGACACCAACCATCAAAAGGCCAGCATAAAAGCCCATCAGACAAACTTGATGGGGCTCAACATTATTCATCTTCTCCCCCACATGACATTTCTCTTCCTTTCACAGATAATTACAGGCTAACGATTTTCTAGCACCGCCTGTGGCTCTCCGTCCAAATAGAAGGGTTGAACCACCAACGGGCAACGACAAAGCACATCAACAAGTATAATACCCAGAATCAAAACTTCAACCCCAAATTCTTAGATAATTACAAAAGCAGTAATAAACAACACACCATTTTTACAACAAAATTCAACATCCCCAGATAAATGTACACCAAAGCTACTATTCATTATCTTTTCTCTCAACACAAAGACATTTATTAGCATTTAATAAGTGATTCACCCGAAAATAAAATGAAGAATCAACTAAAAACTCATTACCCACCAAACCAATAGCAATACCCAGAAAATAAGAAAGATCAGAAGAGGGGATTGACCTTGAATACGAGGATAACGATGAGGGCAACGAGGATGAAAAAAGAAAACAACCATATGAAGAGATCTATCGTGCCTCTTCCTATGCCTTCCTTTTTTTCCTCTCATTTCTCCCTTGGATCTTTTGCTTCGATGATAAAATGATGAAGCAACGTCGGGTGATAAATGCACACGGGATTCTCTCTGTCTCTGATGATACTAGGAAAAGATGATGAGGAATGTTATTATTTGCTTGGCTTATTACTTTGAATCCTAAAATACTTAAAATATCGTCAAGGAAAGACTGTTTTTAAGGACATTTTTCCTGATATATCACCTATACCCTATATATTACCTGTCAGGCACCATTCATACTATTTTTTCTGATCTAACACCCTTTGCAGTAAGGCGCCCCTACAGCGCTCTTTACGGTGATCTGGCACCACGTGGGGTAAGGTACGCCCCCTGCAGCGCGCCTTATGCTGACATGGACACATGTGTCTAAAGCGCGGTCGCTGGGGTGCGCCTTACGCCACGTAGGGCTATAGCACATTTCAATTATCACATGCTCAATTATGAGACATGCATAATGCAAGGCGTGGTGCAGGGACCACGCCTTGTATAATTTACCCGAACTTCTCGGCTTTAAAGCATCATCTCTCGGGTATAAATATCCATCTCCCTGTAAACTCTCTCACAATTCCCTCTCAACTGAGAAATTAATACAACAATCCTTTCAACCAGTAAATAACACCCGACAATCCTCTTATATTTGATTCATAAGTTCGTTCGATCTTTCGTTATAAGGTAATTTTGTTATAATTTTTTATATACTTATTGTTTATTATAATTATTTGAAAAAATATTATACTAATTGTTTTCAACTAATTGTCTAAAGTGGGAGCATACGTCGAAATATTTTTGCGATACAGGTAATAATATAAAATTATATTATTTAAATTATTTACGTTTATGTGTAAAAATTTTATTGTGTTATATTTTCGTTCATATATTATTATTTAAGCATGTTTGTTTCAGTTTTTTTTTGCAGATATAATATTGTCGCACTTTTAAACTCTAAGAATGACGCACTTTTAAACTCTAAGAATGGCGCGACTTTCAGCTATTGTTTATTATGATGGAGAAATTCGAGAAGATGAAACTGGCGTTGTTTTCGTATCAAATGAGCATGTTAAAATATCATTCAAGAGAAACATAACTCTTGAGGAGCTGATAACGAAGATTTCGAGGAAGGTTCATGTTGGAAGTAGTAGAAGAATGTCATCGTTGCAGTACAGATTTCCAACATCATTGTTGTCATTAACTTATTCAGCGTTCGAAGTATCGAACAATGATGATGTTGAAATGATGGTTGATTCTCAAAGTAATTATTCAGACGCCGATATTGAGATGTATGCAAAGTTTGTTCAAGTGCGTACTGTTCGGGGTCAGTCATTAAGCTCCCACTATGGGCTAGCTGAACAAGTTGACAGCCCGACTACAGTAATGTGTAATGATTTTAATGCCATAATGGGAAATCCGCATCATGGTGTCGTCACATCAACTTCAATAGGGAGACATTCATCCGCAACTCCTTACGATATGTAACGAGATGGGTCCACGAATAATCCATATGGCAACATCGCGTCCAGTTCAAGGGGAAGGCATTTATCCACAAATTTCTTTGACCTTAATATGGAGATGTCATCGACGCAACAATCTGTGCAGTTTCCATTTGACACGATGGCTTCAAGCTCCAGGGGGAGACATTTAACTGCGAGCTTTTTCGATCTCAATGTTGATATGCCTTCTAGTTCAAGGGGAAGACGTGCAAGTAGTAGGTTCTTCGAAGTAAATGTGGAGAGCATGGAGGAACCATCATCTCCACCAGAAGAACCGCTTCGTGAGCATGGTACGGATGGTGCTGAGACTGGGCTATTCATT